GAAATCACATACCGGGGCGTGTATTGATGTTCGTTATTGTTTGCCCATCAGGTAACTTACACTGAAGACGTGGTAGTTGATGACGAGGAGGACACGGAGACGGAGAAAGAGGGAGGGGACGGCGAAACGGCGGTGCCTGTCACGGAGCAGGAGGACGCCAGCAAGAACGAAGGTGTTGGCATTCATCTTTTTTTTGCTCGTCTTCTTTGGTTGCCGGCGTTTTGTACCAGTGTACATTGGGTCTATTTTTGTGGAGGCTAGCAGCAGGTGTTTGTTTTTGCCCTTGACACTGGCTCGTGTGTGTTTTTGTTCGTACACATTGAGGGCGACATTATATAACATATCACACGTACCGTTGTTGGACACAATCAAAGGAGATTCCGTGTCGTGCCATGGTTTGATCATGCTTGAAGGGAAATGGTGCCGTAGCTCAATCGACCCTTTTCCGATTATCAGTCATACCACGAAACGTGATCATAGGTGTTCGATTCGTATGTTGGTTATCATCGGTGCACTGATCCGGAAGCCGTTCACTCTCACGTTGCTGGCGTATGGGTCACCCCATTTCCACATGCCATGAAAAACGCCCTAGGCGATGCTGATGCCGATTCTGGCGCGGACGTAGCGGCAACCGATTCCGCCGACACCGAGGTAGAAGGAGCAGCCGCTGCAGACCCGGCAACAGGAACGGAAGAAAATAAGGACAAGTCGGAAGGGGAGGGGGACGGAGGGGATGCTAAGGATGGCAAGGACAAGAAGGAGAAGCCAAAGAAGAAAAAGAAGAAGACCATCAAGGTTGACAAGACCAAGATTGTGACCGATCGCAAGAAGGCCAAGCTCGACGTCGTGCCGCACTTCACGGTGAGCATTCGCCGCGGCTGCTGCCTTTGTTTTCATGGGCATCTTGTGCGGTGGGCATGAGTGTTAAGTTCAGGCTGTTCCCGAGCGTTGGTTTCCGTTGCAGCAGCGTCGAAGGTACCTCAGCTTTCGGCCAAAGAAGACGCCAGCCGATGGATCAACGAACCAGGGTTGCTTGCTACCCCGTTGAGTTTTTTCATGTCTTACGATGTGTGGGTGAGGACATGGGTGAGCGCATTTCTCGCGCTTGATGAGCATTTGCTTGGCCGCCACGTGGAGGGCCATGGCGCTGTGATGGATGGATGTAGTCGCAAGACACACTCAAAGGATGATGATCCTGCAGGCTCTTGGCTTCTCAATTTTCCGAGAGTCGATGCTGATGATTTCACTGACCTGAGCGCCTTTGTTCTGGAAGCGAGGCCCCCGCGTCTGTTCGGCTGCATAGTGTTTTCGGCCGCGTGAGAAATCCCCATGAGACTCCTGATTTTACCCTTCCCAAAGGCCTCCCCCCCGGTGTTTGCGATCAGGGTTGGGTTTTCGTCGGTTGGCAACGACGTTGTAAAACGAGCCAATTCACTTCGTGAACTCGGCAACTAGGTTGCCGTTTTTTTTTTTACCTCTGTTTATTTTTTTGGCGGTAACCATAATGGTGGTCGAGTAGATCATGTTGTGCGGGGTGGACAATCCTCACTCCGCGCAAGGGGGGTGATCGCACCACGTTGTGTTAAATTGGTCACGCATCGTCGATGCAGTTACACAGTGCTTACAACTGTCTCTGGGAGGGAAAGCACCATAAATTAAATAAAGTCATACGCAGCTGTCGTCCGTACGCAAGGAAGTAAGCACAAGATGCCGAACACCCTTAGCAGGATGCAGCGCACCCTTCATGCGACTCGTCAAAAGCCTGGTCCGGTGAGAACCCGGCGTGCTCCGTCCCGGCTTTGTAGGGATGCGAGGTCAATGGTCTAACGACTACGGCATGCACGACTATGAGTACACCCCCCCCCGAAGGCGTTCAGAGTACAAAGCGGCCCGTTCGTAGGCATGCGAGGTTTTTCATTTTGGGCTCAGTTCTTAGCATGAATTTTGGCCGAAGGAATTGGGCTTTGCATCTGCTAGACCCGGCATGATCGCTTGGCAACAGCCTGTGCTCGATGGTTGCGACACAACGAGGTTTTGATCCCCCGCCCGCAAGGTTGTCTCTCGTGTCTATTACGAGCGAGTCGCTTCTGTTGTAGTGCAACACATGTTACAGATCTGTCCATCCTCTCTAAACTTTTATCCCCTATGCATCCCCGTGGCGATTTATTTGTACATGTATCTTGTGCCTTCCTGCCCTGGCTGGTTTCAGTACATGCGAATTCACCCCCTCACTGACGAAGGGACGGCGGCGTCCAAGGCCAAGCTGTCTGCGCTCAGAGCCGCGGACGAAGTCAGGCGGGAAACCGCTCAGGCGAAGAACGATTTGGAGTCCTACATCCTCAAGGTAATCAGTCTATTCAGTACCAGGTACAGTATTTGGAGTTTGAACACCTTTCAATCAACAAGGATTTCAAGATGTTAGCCTGGCGACGAAAACCGGTTTTGTACATGGGGTATGCAAGCAAAGTGGAAATATGGCGTATCCGTTTTAATTTTTGTTTCTAGAGCGGGGAATCCCCGTTGTTGAGGTAGTTGGCTTGTGACAACGGAAGACGTCCGCGTTGGTTGGGCTAGTACGGACATTTGAATGTACTGAGCGGAGACCGGAACGATTTTTAATGTGATGACAGCAACAACACCTCAACAAGTTATCAATCACTGCTTGCATCTACTAGGGTTGAGCTGTGGCAGTGGCATCGATGTACGCACCCCCGTAAGATAGCATCCTGTCTCGACGCAAGAACCCTGCCGTTCGGTTACATAGTGTTTGTTCCAATTGTGTGTTCTTGCTTGTTTCATGGTCTTGTTTTTTTTTTCGGAACAGGTTCGTGCAGCCCTGCGAGACTTCGACGCCAACCTTGAGGTCGTTAGCACGGAGCAACAAAGGGAGGAGGCGATAGTTTTGGCCACGGAACAGGAGGATTGGTTGTACGACGACGGTTGGGACATGGACGCCGCCACCTACCGGAAGAAGCGGGGGGAGTTGGCGGAGGTGGGCGGGTGGGGACAAAATTGATCTCGAGCGGGTCGTGGTCGCCAGGTCGTTCGTTGGTGCTGTCGCTTCCGTATACTTTGCAAATATAGGGCTTTTGCAATAGTTCCGCAGGTTTGCTGGAGAGATTATTTTGATGTTTTTTAGGATATGAAAGGGAGAGACTTGCTGGACCAGTGCCGCCTTGCGTGTATCAACCCTCTTTGTCACGTCCCTTCCTCGAGCCAGAAGTGATACAAGGATGAGTTTGGCTCTAGCCTATCAGCACGATGATGTTGACTCGTTCTTGCGCTTGGCACGTTTGGCTGTGCGCAGCTTGCCGAAGCCATGTTCTTGCGATCTTCTGAGCTCGTGGCAAGACCCGCAGAGCTGGCGCGAGGAAGAGAGTTCACGGCAAAGGTATGCATCCGATGCTGAACGTTCGCCAGGTTGTTTTACGGCTGAGGCTGACCTTTATTTCCTGTGCACCTTTGCCCTAAGCAATCAATCGTATTCAGGCAGCTTCCTCGCACTGTTTGTTTTTTGACAACGAATACAAGTCAGGACGCCGGGTAAGAAATCGTCCTCCCGCTGTTTACATACCGTTCGACTGGGTACCTCACTGTGGTTTGCCTCTCTCAGGTGAGGGAATCTGTGGAGAAATGGGAGAAGACCAAACCCCACATTACGGAGCAGGAGCGGACGGATGTGATGGAGAAAATCGACAGGTGAAGGGAGAGGTTGCCTTTCGTTGTTTTCAGGACACTAATAAAATACGGTAGCTCGTGGTGCCCTGTTTGAGCAAATGTTTATTCCCGTTGCGGGAAGTCTGTTGCACACCGCACAACAAACTTGTAATCCCGTCGAGCGCGTACGGCAGGTCTCGTGTAGCCCCTCTGATTCACCAGATCTCGTTTTCTAAGTCACCCCTACCCATCCCTTCGCCTAATGTAACTGGTTGGTTCACTTCGCAGCGCGGAAAAGTGGATGTCAGACAAGGAGGCAGAGCAAGCCGCTCACCCACCTCACGAGACGCCAGTGTTCAAGTCAGCTGAGGTAGAGCCAGCGCTGAAGGCACTTAAAAACCTTGTCACCAAGCTCTCCAAGAAGCCCGCTCCGAAGAAGGAGAAACCAGCGAAAGCTGACAACTCCACAGAGGAGGCAGCGACAAATGGGGATGAGGGTGAAGAATCCCCGGAAGGGGAGGGTGAAGGGAAGGCGGAGGAGGGGGAGGAGGGCGTAGTAGGAGAGGGCGAGGAGGAGGGAGCAGAAGGGGCTGCTGCAGCGGACGCTGAGGCAGACCCGTCGCGTGAGGAGCTATGAGCAGTTTTGAAAATTGAGTGAAGTGTGTGAAGCACGAAGGAGTTGGTCGACAAGGACTAGAAATATCGAGTCGGTCAGTAGCTTTTCAGTCGCGCATGCACACGTTTGCATTTTGTGTATGATTGTTCTTGGAAATTGCACCCGAGTCGTGTGCTGTTATCTCCGTTTTCTCTTTTTTGTGTGATGCTGGTGTGGTCTACAAGCGAATCTGGTACATGAGCTTCTGGTCTGCTGATTCACCGCTGTCAGGATCACTGATCTGTTGATTGTCCCGTGTGCGTGTGGTTGTGGATGAGGTGTGCACACGCGCTACCACGGTAAGCACCCAACTACCCTTCCATCAGATGTATGGAATGCAAGCGGCGTAGAAATGACATCGAGGCGGCCGTCATTCTCCAATTATCGGAGCACCTGGCCGTGCGTGTTACAGCAACGAATGAGGACTCAGCACCGTACTCCGCACTGCTATCTATCTCTCGTCAGGCTCAACAAAGTAGCATATTCGACACAAACACTTCGAGCATTGTTGTTGTTGTTCGTCCATGCGGGCAGAAATGACGTTGGTGAGGAAGAACAGAAGCACAGAGAACACATGCACGCCGAGAAGGGGGGATATGCTTTCTACACTCTGAGAAAACAGGCTCGAGTTCCGTCATGCTTGATGTGCGTCTTTCCTGAGGCAACTACATATCATTCCATGGGTTGCCCCCAGTCCACTGTCCACGTAAGTTGAGATCTTGGTTGCCGATATGACTATTTGGAAAACGCTCCTGCGTCGCCTTCCTCCGCTGAACCCGGCTGGTGTGTTCAGAAAAGGGACATACACACTCAGGACAGACTCCCTTGAATCAAAACCTTTCTGTGGCACAGGCTTCAGTTACGGGAGAGCTCGACGAGAGCAATAGCACAGCATAAAATTCGATTAGGGCGAGCGACAACAGAGAGAGGGACTACCTGAACTCAACTGCTTTTCTCAAAAGCCGAAAGTGAAACACCTATCAATGCCTTTGCAAAAAAAACAAGACAGCCACGTACTAAGGCCTGGCATTTTTTCAACAGCACGCCACCGCTCGGTGCACCTACTCACGATTGGCATGTACGAAGGCATCTTCTACGTTCATTGTGATACGTTTACATCTAACGCCCTCCGCTGTTGCCAAGCGAACAGTCAACACGAGATCTAGAGAAAGGATGAAGCAAGCAAGATTCAGAGCGCACTAGAGCCCAGAAGACAAGGGGGGCAAACATTACTAATATGGAATATTAATACGACGGATATGAGCGTATGGTTGTCCTACAGGCCATGGCCTCGGGCAACACCATACATATCCAACCACCAAGAACATCGGGCCAATTCAACAAGGGCGAAAAATGGCTGTACTCCGTTTGCCTAGAATGTGAAGCACCGCTGCAGCGCATTTGTAGCAGATGACATCACATCAGCCCCCCGTAGTAGGTTGGTTTTCCGCCGCAACCAAACACAATCCAAGTCAGTTCAGTCGAACCCATCCAAGCTATTTCAGCGTGGAAGACGGCAACAGCGCTGCTTCCACACAACAACGGATACTCTCAGATCTACACAGTAGCGGTGGACCAAATCGTTCCTTCACTTTAACCTAGAAGGAACATCTATTCAATGTCTCCTGTTGTACGCGCGAGCGGCACACAACACAGGCGATCAACGTCAGCTATAACCCCCACACACCTTCACTCCTCATAGCCGCTGTTATATCGTGCTATTCTGTACCAACGGCAATTTTAGCATCTATCTTGGATCATGATCATCAACCACTTTTTTCCGGGTGGACACTCGCTGTAAGCGCACCCCAACATGACGGCATCCATCCCCCCGTCCACCAAGTCACTGAGCGACGAAGCAACTTCGAGTGGACCAAACAAATCGCACGGAATAAAATTCTTGTAAGATGGGGGCATAGAAACCCCCTCCATCTGTTTCAAGCCAAACAAAAAAAAAAGCTCTATACATGACATATTCCAAGCTCACAGGCGACTCCTATCGACTCTCGTGCTGTGCAGCGGTCTCAACACAACGTGAGCAGTGTAGGCGCGCAAAGCAGCAATCAGAGAACAAATAATTACACAAGAGGACCTTTCGAAAGCAACTAGAAACAATGATTCAACCGTGGCCCCGTCCGCCGTCGAACGGGGGAACAAGTCAATCAGACTCAAAGCCCCGCGCGGCGCTCGTTTCAAACCCTCCTCACCGGGACGGTTCGGCCAGATGACTCTATGCGGATAAGGCTACAATTCTTCAGCACCCTACAAGGTGCGAGGGCGGTTACTGCTGCGAATGCGCCTTCGACGTCCCGCGAGGATTTTTCGCCTGCGCGTGTGCCGCTTGGCCCGCTTTTGTACCACCACGGCCCCTTCGCCCTGCATCTTCGTCCGCCTGAACGGTTGCATCAGCGGAATCAAACGGAGAGCCCCCGCGCAAGCTGCGGCGCTCTCCGCTGCAAACGCTTCTTGGTGCTGTGTTGGAGCGGTCTCTGTTAACGTGTCTGGCAAGAAGGAGTTGAGGTCGCTGCATCCGGAGAGATTGTTGAACATCTCGCTCGTGGAACACGACTTCTCTAGGATGCGCAAGCAAATTGCGGTCTTGAGATCTTCACCCTCTAGCGACGGGTCCTCGGAACGGATTTTCCTCTCGTACTTGTCCCACAATTCCGGCCATGTTTCCCCCGTCACCCTGGTCGTGTCGGGAGCATGCACAAAAGAGAGACGGAGCCATGGAAGAGGCAGAACGACGGCGAACGGGTTGGACGTTAGGCTTCCCAAGGGGCAAAGCGTGAAATGTATGTATAGTGGGATGTTTCAGGCGTTTGAGCAGCATACATTAGACGAGCGCGGTGCGGACGGGCAGTGCACGGGATAGTGTACACGTGCTTTGCCATGTGTGCATGTACGACACAGGTAGAGAGCCCCAACAGTGCTTTAGAGAATGCAGCCGAGCGAACAGAACTGTAAAACAGAAACAGGAGGAAAGAAGCAAAACGCCAACAAACACAAGAGGATTTTCTCGCGTCTTGATATTTTACCTGAAACTTCCATGCCTCTTCAAGTGCCGAAGCCCATCATACAAATGCGCCACGACGCGAGATGGAAGCTTGCAGCGCTCGCGCACGTAAAGTCTTGCCGCGTGCCTTGCCATCGACGCAAGGCGAGCCCGCTCCTCCAGAGTCTCCGCGGCTCCGAAAAAATATTCCCAGTGCCCGCCCTGTTGCCTATTTGCCACGTCGACCACCGTAGCCAAGCCACCCCCGCTCATGCCACCGCCCAATGGTCTCTCATTTCCGTCACACAGGGCCTTCGCACCTACTGCGTCCACGTAAACGCTCACGGGAAGCAGTTCGTGGTAGAACCTTCTTGTTTCCGCCGGAGTCAAATCGCCCCAGAAATGACGCCTGGGGCCGTAAGCCTGGCGTAACAGATCGACAGACGGTAGTGCGCAGCGCGCTGGGATCGCCATTGCATGGAGAGCTGAGTCGGAGTTGGCCGACGATGAGCCGCCCGTGCGAGCGCGGGGCCGGCGGCGACCAGGGCTGGCCCCATCATTGCGTGAAGCGCCGCTTCCAATTCCGCCGGATGGGGAGGTGGCCGGCCACATGCTTCCAGCACCGAAGGTTCGCGTCGTCGTCAGCATCTGATTCAAGGGGTGGGGAGGGATGAACTGCATTGTCATATTGTAGCCCATTGAGCGATGATTTGGATATTGCATGATTTTGTCTGCGTAAATCAATCTCAAGAGAACACATGTCGCACGCAAGCAAGGACGCGTGAGGTACAGCAAGCGTGTTAGATAAATGTCTCGAACGGGTCTCTTCTTTGTAACAGACCCGCGTATGCATAAACTGCAGCAGTTTTCGAGCGGGTGAAGGCCGGCGTTGACATTGCCGAGCCTTTTACGTCACGACTTCAGAGAACTTCACGAGCTAAAGTTGATTACATGTCCTCCTCGGGAGATCACTTTCCCCCTCTACTCGTGACGATATGCTAGTTTGCGGGTTGATCTCAGCATACGCATACCCGTCCAACTTCATCTTCCGAAGTTGTAGAAAGGCAGCTTGGGAATTGTAGTTATGAGACTGCAAATCCACGTGGTGTTACACGTTGAAGGATGCACTGCTGTATGTATGCATAGCGAAAAACACAAAAAGAGTCTGCCAAAAATGTAAAGTGCCCGGGTTCAAAACTCGCCACAGGCCTTGCTCATGGTATGTGTACCCAAAGGTGAGAGATGAGCTTGTCCTGCACTCTCAATGCTGTGGTCTCGACGAATTCGGTGATGTTCTGGTTAGGAGCAACACAAGTCAACAAGCGTGCCCAGTGAGCGGCGAAAGTGGTTCAATAACTTCGCTTCCGAGATATTTATTTTCCGCTTTGATCATTCCGACCCGGCGCGAAAGCTCTGATGTTAATGTCAAACCCCAACGCGTGTCCGCTTTACACCAGAAACGTCCCATGAGTAACAAGAGCGTAACTTGACATTTTGGTGATGGTTACTGGGGTCATCAACGTTTCGTTTCACACGCTGTCGTTCGCATCATCACGGTTACTCTCAATTTTGCTCTTTTTTTTCGGTGCCTCCCTCGTCTCTCATCACTTCTCAATTCTGCTGTACTGCACACGCACAACGAATGTTTTTGTCCGCGGGTACATGTGTTTTGATCTCATTTGCTCACGTGCTCACCGTTATGGCGGTCTTCTCCTGTCTCCTCGGCCCCACGGTGGATGAGTCCTTTCCCACCACGGCTTCCGAGCGTCCATGTCGAGGGAGTTCGGGTTGGAGACAAAATGCCAAGGAGCCTCTTGCGGCAGACAGGTCATCGCCTATGAACCCCGACACAAGAGCACATGCCGCCGAAAGTAAAGGGAGGAGAGCGAGGAGGAAGACCGGTAACATCCCTTTCCTTACCGTTCCCTTTCCCGTATGCTTCTCAATACCGGGGCCGTCCCTGCTCTTCGCCCACCGAGGACCTCCCCCTTCTTCGTTCCTCTGCCCTCTTTACTGAGTACAATTAACCCGGCGGGGCAGAGTTGGAACTGAGAACGAGGGAAACTCGCGCTTTAATGGCCACGAACTCTCCGAAGTCGATGAACAATCGTTGGGGTCAACCTGTGCTGTTCGAATGCGGGGGGCTTGAGGGCGTCGACGAAGGCTAGTATGACAACGACGCTGCCGGAGTCAGGTGTCAGCGGGGGTGCCGTAGACCACGACTTGTAGCCCTATTTCCAGCTTGCGTGTCCCCCAGGGGGAGCGTGCTCTGTGTGTGTCCAACAGCCAGGGGCCTTTTACATCACGGCCATCGCAGCACACGATACTGGAAGTGAACGCATCGAACGGGAAGGTGATGCGGCGCTGTTTCGCCCTAAGCTTGGCTCTCGCAACTAGCGTGGAAGGTTTTCTTCCTGCGGTGAGGATACTTGACAAAGCAGTGACGATTTGCTGCATACGTGTACCAGGAGATGCGTAGACTGACTAGGAAAATCATGTGCCGCAAGCAGATTTCATCCCCAGGGAACCCCGTCGAACGCTGCGGCTTCAGTCCAGCGACCCGTGAAGGATGATGTAGATACGTGTTGAACGGGAGTCCTTTTCTTGTCTTGGGCTGAAACGTTGCTCGTTCATCGTTGATGCATACAGAACGTGGTGCTTAGTGCGATCGATGCAGATGTCCCCAAGGGTATTTTTCTTTCTCTCCAGTGCTCAAGCTTGCTTTTCGCTTTTCGCCCCGCCGCCGCCCCCTTGCTGCACCCCGGACGCCATGATTTGATCATTTTACAGCCTGGTGTGAGCTCGTTCGTCAGCAAATCAGGTTCTTACGGCACGGGATTAAACAATGAGCGCTCTGGGTTGCCAGCTGCGCGCCAGAGAGCGGCCATGAGCGCTGACGGGGGGAAGGTCTTGGTGACGGGCTTTTTAAACTCCAAGCAGCGCACGGACCAGTTTGTGTTCGATATCTTGCAGGCGCAAGGCCGGTGGGAGAAGATTGTCGCGTTTTCCGATAGCGTCGCGTTTGCCAAGAAGCGATTGGTGAGCCGCAAGTCTCGCTACAGCGGACTCTTGGATGTGTTGGAGTTCGAGGAGGGAGATAGGTACGACGCAGCAACCATGGAGGAAAAGCTCAAGGGGATCTCGGCATGGTTGTGTTTCGACTGCGAAGGCGACAAGATCAAGGAGTCGGTCGAGTTCGCCAAAAAGGCTGGCGTGAAGAGCATGGTGATTTCGTCCACCGTCTCTGCGGCCGACGCGTCCAGTGCAGGAGTGGAGGACGCCTTGAAGGTGTGGGCAGAATTTGAAAATTTGACATACAATCAAATGCCGACCAGATTCGGAGTCATCTACCATAGATGACACAAGATTACACACCCCCTGGACCGATTTTTCAAATCTCGATTTCTCATCAACAGAAAAAGTCACGGCGCCGAAAACGGCGGCGCTGGAACCGTCTCGTCGAGAGCTTTCCAAAAGCGTATGGTTTGTTTATGCATCCTCTTCATCGTGGAGTAATCGCACTTTGAAAATTGGTCCAGTGGGTGTGTTATCTTGAGTCATATACAGGAAGCGGATCCAAGAGGAAAGTTAACTCAAAAATCAACACAAATCAAATCTGTGTTCGTAAAAAATCTGTGTCTGCTGGTCTTGGTTGTTGTTGTTGTTGTCTTCTCATTAAACCCGTGTCAGTTGGTATCCCAAAATCTAGCAAAGACGCGGTCCGTGGTCACAAAAATGCTAGAGCCATCAGAAAATGTAAAGAACACACACTATTAGCAAGAAAAGGGTACACAAGCCTTGGTGTATTACAATAATAGAAATTGCCATGTGACGGCCCAAACCAGATTATAAAAGTAAAACCAACCAACCCCACATGTATTTTCCTCTCGCCACCTCAACACTCGGATATGGTCGGTTATTGTTGTAAGGACTCGGGCAAATGTCAATACAAGACGTTCAGGAAGAACGTGACGGAGGCCGAAGCTATCAACGCCCTCATGGAGTACCGCGAAATGGGCCTTCGTCGCGTTCTTCCTGTTGCGTTGTACTTGGAGTAAGAAGTAATTCACATTGCCAAACTTCATGTGTTCATTGTTTGATCAACTATGGCGTGTGCTGCTTGCCGATTCAAAGTTTCGAGTGCGGCTCACTTCCAGGTGTGGGCGTTCAGAGGCGTGCTACAAGGGCGAGTATTTAAGATGTTATTCACGTGCAGCGTCGCTGTCATCGATTTACTTTGTCCGGTTTGGGTCATGTGCTGCGAAGTATTTTCTTGTTTTCGAGTTCTCAAACGCACACCGATCGAGATTGCGTTGATCTTTCGGGGTCCCGTTTTTTCTGGTTGGTTTCATTTGCATGCGTTAGTGTACTTCGGGAGTTAGCCTTATGACCACGGAAGGCGTCGGCCTGAGTTGGACCAGTACGGATGTTGAGAACATTTGAAGGTGCCCGGGCAGATATCGTAACGTCGTTTGAAACTGAAGGCAACATCGACAAGAACAACAGGGTCCCCTTTCATAGAAAGTTCCGAATAATGTTGGGCTCTCGTATTCTTCGAAACTGGGTCAGACAAACCGGTGGAGGAACAAATCTCTGAACATCCGTCGTCTCCTTGGAGCTCTCACTTTCGGAGTGCGTCAAGTTGTGCTTGGTAGAGCGGTGCCCCAGTTGCTGTGAAATCGAGTATTACAAGCAGTAGCAGCAACAAAGCACGCCACGACAAAAAACGCAAGCTTAGGGAAGATGCCTGTGTAGAGTGCGCATCTGGCCATGCTAGAAGGTGGGTTTCGTAGAGCTCGGAGGTCATCCACGCAAGGTCGATGCCAATCTGCCATAAGCATGATTCTGAGAGATCCATTTATGGTGGCTGCAGTCGTGGTGGCATGAAAGCCATGCAGAGTTGTTGGGTAAAGGGATAGAATTCGAACGTGAGCCCGCGTGTTGCAGCCGTAGCTAAATAGATGCCCACATGTTAACACAATTGCGAGGGGTGCAACTGTTCGGGGCCTACCCGTGCAAGTGGCGCTGTTGCAAATCATTTTTGTAAGGAGGATCTAGACTTCGGTAAGGCGGTCAGTACGGGCCTCCGGTGTGACACCCCCCCCCCCCCCCCCCCCCCCCCCCCCCCCCCCCCCCCCCCCCCCCCCCCCCCCCCCCCCCCCCCC